TACATATTTTCAAGATAGTTTTATTTTACCGAATTTGAAGATTTGGGGATGATGGGACGAGTATGTCTAGAACAGTTCTTTTTTTTTGTAATTGTGGGAATTATGGTTACAGATTCAAAGGGGTTTTATTCTTTTTAGAATTCTTAAACTGTTCTATTGGTTGTAAGATCGAATCTCAAAGGCTCTTTGCACATAAGAAACCTCAGGTTCTTGCATTGAACTTAAGCCTAAGTAATGACGTGCTTGTTCCTTTGTATGCACGGTATGGTATGTAGTTTAATGTTAATAAATCAATGATAAATTGTATGTTAAAAATAATTTGGCTTTTATTTGGAGAACGTGGGTCTAGTGGATATGGAATTTTTATAATGAGAAAGATGTTTAGGTTGATTTCTCATATGTATGTGGTCATATACTCGGTACATTTTTTATGCTCTGGCAAACTCTGAATGAAACGGAACTTTACTTGATGAACTTTTGGAATGTTGACAGATGATTGACTGGACTAAACTGTTAGTCTGTATATGTATTTTTGAAATTCATGATTGGAACTGAATTCAAACTTTGTGATCATTATGTGTATGGACTGTTGATGGACTGGATTCAAATAGATGTTGATATTTATGATTGTATAATTAGAGATTCGTGATCATTAAGTATTGGAAAATGTTACTATTAATGAGAAACTATTAATGTGGTAAAGGTCTTGGAGATATTTTCTAGGGAATAAGACAAGCTGTGTTCATAGACTCATCCCCCATATGGAGCTTATATGGTGGCACTTTTGCGCTCGAGCAATCTCAATCCCTTAGCCGGGAACAGGACAAGTTTGGTTCCAATTATAGCACCCCTAGTATTTGGAAAGTTGGAGATCGTGGTTTGGTTAGGAGCTCTTGGGCCTTTGGCTGGCCACTATCTTCGAGTTAGAGAGCTACAACAGCTTGTCACATTGGCTAGGTTGTTAGGATATTAAAGCTCACAGTCTGAATTTGAGGAATAAGGAGATAAGGTGGATTGAGAAACTAGATAATTATGAACCAAAAGTGTATGCTATTGTAATTGCTTTCATGAATATTTGATGAATTTTCTTTGTTAATATATTGTCGGTTATAATTGATTATCTTGAGAAATATACTACTGGTTATCCATTGATAAATTTTTGGATATAAAGGATTGGTTATTTGTCAGAGTTGTTTGGTTATGGATTGTTAGTTATGTTTGATTATTTTGATTGGACTTGATTTTTTGTGAAAAGAAAACCCACTGGAACGAGTTATCAACTGATTGTGGATATATCGTAATCATTGAAGTGGTTACCATGACTTTTTGTCTCATTCCTTTTTCTTAAATTTTCCAGAGAACACTAGTGAAGCCGTGGAAAGGGAATGGACGCAAGGAAACTAAACTTCTTAAAAAGTATGGTCTCAAGGTTATTTTAGCCTTCAGCCCTACGATTAGTGGATTTTACCAAAGTGCAAGTTGTAAGTTTATTTATTTTATCTATTTTTGGTTAGATTTTTTACTGCATTATTGCTTTTAATCATCTGTGATTATTGTTAATGGAAAAGCGAAGCTCTACCTAGGATGCTTGCAAACATATTAAAGCAAGTAGAGCCTACACAGGTTGCTTGATTTATCCATATTGGATTTGCATGTTGTTTCACATGACAAGGACTATTATTGCATGATTGCTTGTCTATGTTAGATTGGCTTCAATCCTTTTCTACTATGGTGGACTGATTCACTCCTTTTTTACAATAATTGATGTGGAATAATTGTTGTGTAATTAGATAATATTTTAGTCTTTTTTTTTATAACAAGACAGCGAGCTCAATTTAATTGCTCGACAAATTATTTAAATCAGCTAAAAGAAGCCTTGTTAACTTAGAGGATGGGTTCAAAATTCAAAACAAGCCAAGCGATCCTTAGATAACTAAAAGATGTTTTAGTCTTTTCTACTATAATACAACTCATATTAGAGGAGTAAACATGTTATTATAACATAATAGACCATTGGTTGTACTTTTCTCTACCTTAATAGTATTAGGGGCATTTTTTTACCATGATAATATGTTATTTTTCTACCATGATAGAGGATCACTTAAGTGTTAAGATTGGGTCGTTTCATTAGGTCTTCTCAAAATTACATTGCTCGGCTTCAAGAACACACTGAGGACCCTTTGTGAGGTTAGCATCATACACTGGGGGTTGTTGAACCTTGTCATAGATCATTCATGAAACAATTAGATTACACACACAAAAAATACAACAAAGAGAAATGAGAAAATGAAAAATCAAAGAATCCATTAGATGGTATAAAAAGATGAAACAAAAACATGAGAAATAAAAGGAGTTAGATAAAACCAATAAGGGTGGTGTCTAGTAGATGGGATTAATTCCTCACAATATGGTGAATCAAGATTTAAATTCCCATTAGGATAGGTGTTCACATTTAGCACTTGACCATGTCTCAAATAAGATTATCTCCAATAGAAAAATACTTGTGAGTAATTAAAAAAAAAAGAGCTTGATGAGAGGGTGAGTAACAAATCTTATATGAGGTTGTAGACAACGATTAGGATTAATGTAGATTATTTTAATGGTGCCTTTTGTATTAGATGCAAAGGAGCAACACCAATTTTGGCAATAGAGTTTTAGATTCCCATTTCTTAGGGGAGACTGAACATGATCCATCATCTTCTTTAGTAACAGGGTTCTTGCTCATCATTGAACTCTGTTGGACCTATTGGAGAGGTGATCGAATCAAACATATTATCAATATTCTTGGCATTTTCTTGAAGACTAGACCGGGGTTCACCCCTCCACAACAAGATTTATTAGCTATAATCAAAATTGTTGGCTTTATTCAAGGTCAGGTTAGAATAGCTTCATGAATTCTAATAGTTCCTCCTTATTTTGTTGAGCAACTCGTAAAATCTCTCAACAGAAATAATTTGAATTACTCAATTACAAAAATGGGATGAACTTTAATACCTTGAGGTAGCTTCAACTCATAAGCTACTTGCCTAATCTTTTAATGGTGAGTTAACACTTAGAGGAGGTTGTAAGTGCAACTCAAAATCAGTAGAGTGGTAAAGAAGCTGGAGGAGTAGTCGTCTATTGTTCAAAAGCAAGATGCAAGAGTGAAACGTGAAAAATGGGATGAATTCTAACATCTTAAGGTAGCTCCAACTTAAGCTACCACCCTAATCTTTCTTTTTTTTGTTGCCAGAATACCACCCTAATCTTTCGATGGCCTAAAAAATGTGGGGACATGTCTTCAAACTTACTTTTAGTGAGTGACCATTGATAGAAGGGTTGCACTCGCAGCCAAACATCACCAACTAGAAATTCAACTTTTCTTTTATGCTGATTAGCAAAAACCTTCATTTTATCCTAGGCCTTGTACAAAAATTATGCTTCAAAAGTTTAAGCATTATATTGTTAGGCTATTCATTTAGGTATGTAATAAGTGTTTCTCCTTTCACACACAAAGATATAGGAGGTGGATCTCACCATCTTGAATGAAGAAAAGTTGGTGGATGTATAACGGTTGGCGTTGTCAAAATTCTCGGTCCAACCAAAAAAACTTGCGCCATAATTGGAGTTCCTCATGTGTAAAGCAATGCACGTAAGCCTCAAGTCCTTGGCTAACTACCTCTATTTGACCATCCTTTTGAGGATGGTCATTAGTGCTCTCATATAACTTGGTTTGGTTCATGAACAAATAGTCATTACCTATTTTGCAATGAAAGGCTAAGCAAGAGTAATGAAGTGAACATACTTACTTAGTCGATCCCCTACAACTAAAATGACACTGAAACTACCATATCTTTTAAGACTAGTAATGAAATTGAAAGAAACCACCATGGTCTTACCTCATTTTCAATTCTACTTTTCAATCTACTTAAAATCAATATTATAAATCAATTATATCATAGGATAAATTGGCTTAATTTTCAAAAAAAAATTGTACCCATAAAATATGAATCAAATTTTTAAAAATTTAAAAGCATGACCAGTTCACATTGATATATAAAGCATTTAACATTGATATGTAAAAAATTTATCTTTAAAAATTTATAAAGGTTTATCATTGATATATAACTGTAAATTATTGATAAATATAATAAACTAATTATAATATAAAATAATAAATTTTGAATTATTTGTTTAATTTGATCTTGTAATATAAGTTATATATGCAAAAACCTCAACATTATATAATATAATCATTTATATTCAAAATCAATTATATCTTTTTATTATCAAATTTTTTCATAGGGAAATCCAAATGCCCCTAGGAGTACTTGAATTTTTTTAAGAAAATCATGATTTTGATTTTATAATTTATTTTGACATGTATAAATTTCTCTAAACCTTATCATCATCATCATCATCATCATCATCATCATCATCATCATCATCATCATCATTATTATCATTATCCTTTTTGCCCCATTTGTTATAATATATAAAACTATTCTCCCCCTCCTTTAAAAAGAAAAAAGCATTCTCTCCCTCCCGTTCAAAAGAAACATACTGCAAAAAAAAATTTATCACTAATTAAAAATATAGAGAAGGTATAGATCATTAATTTTAGAAGATCGAAACTCTAATTAGACTTCATACTATCAAAAGTGTATCCGTAAGACAAACAAGACTAGGATAGTCCTTGCCCGCACCACATCCCAAAAGAGGAACAGGATGATGAAAATTCCAGCCCATACTCTTCCCATCCCCGGAGTTGCTCTTGTTCTGTTATGGAACGAAATGGAATAGGATAGCAACGAGAAATCATGATACAACAAACTACTTGAAGCGCTCAAAATTCAAAAGAAAGAAGAAATAAAATAAACCAATCTATAACTGTCACTCTTTTAAATTTTTCAGGGGAAATAAATAACCTTGTAATGCAGCTTAACCAAAAAAAAAAAAAAATCATGAATACCTTTACTGGGGATGATATATACAGGGCAGAAATTTTAAAAGTTAAAATATTAAAAACATAATTTCATGCCTAGAATTTAGTAAATAACAAAAGACGCAGGGCAAAGAAAAGGAGATACAAGATTCAAAAGTGAGGGAGCCTTATCAATCCGGCTCGGTTTATAAACATCATAGTTAAAATTCAACATTACGTGGTGTGCGGATATGCATTATGGATAATGGTCATCAGCAGTAATAAAGAGATCACCTGGAGATTAACCAGTTACACTTGACCAATCCAATCCCAGAAACTGTAGACACCCCCCCACCCACAAATTCGATGACTCGATATTGTGGCTTTCTTCTAAATTTCTTTATCCTGTGAACGCCCAGGATGTTTCTCTAGTTAACTGCACTGCCTGTATCTGCGAAAGAGAATGCTATCACTGAGGCAAGCTCTTTCCGCAAAATAATGACGATCCTGCATCAAAGCTCGTTCCTTTATTTCATGCCAATGTTCTTAACCAACCAAGCAATCGTAGATGCATGGCATCCAGCACAGCTGATTTCTTCTCCAGCCCTGTCAAACCAAAAGAGGTAGAATAATGTAAGCTATTTTTGACTCATCCACCACTCACAGTACCATTTCAGCTATGAAACTTAGCAAAGATTCAAACTCAAGTATAAGCTTCGACTAATATTCAGACAGACATTATCGAAAGGTTTCAAGCTTCAAAGGAAAGCTGGAGCTGACCGATATCTGCAGCCACTCGGTGAGCGCACATAACTCCTGAAAAAGCAACTGCAATAACACCTTGTCCAGGGAAGCAGCTATCACCAACACAGTAAAGACCATCCATGCCCTGCACATTTTAACATTGTACGCTGGGATTTGATCAGTACGCTCTACAAGCATAAATTCTAAAAATGAAACTGTTCATTAATTTGAAGTGAACCTACGGTGGTATTGAATGGCATTCCCAATAAACCTTTTGGAATGCTGCGTGGCATCGGTCCATAGGTTCCCTTGTCACGAGCCAAGAATCTCCGGTGTGTCTTTGGTGTCCCCACCTACAGTGGCTTTAAATTTCAGAACCAAACATATAATCATAAATGGTCAAAGCCAAAAACCACAGGAAATTTTAAAACAATAAAATTAAAAACAAAATTGTCCAGCCACATGAATTTAATTGATTTCTGGTTTGCTTCAAAGAATAGCAGCAACATTGTTAAGAGATATGAGGCCATAGCTCGCACCTCCATAAAATCAATGGACGATCTGAGACCTGGGAACAATTTATTCTCTAGTCTGCTTATGATTCGATCCGCTACAATCTGCTTCTTTGCCTCATATTCTGCTCTTGAAATTCCCTGGAATAGAGACACTAAATTTCTTGATATTTTAACTTTACGCTAATGTTAATTAGCACAAGGAAAAAAATAGAAATATGAGGGTAGGAAAAATCAAATATTTTTTTACAAAAATCATATAAGATACAAGTTTCCAGTTTTAATCTGCCAGAATTCAGTACTGCCTACCTCCCAGTCCTCTATGGAAGATGTTGTGAATATATGAAGAATATGCCTGCCCTTGGGAGCCAATGACGAGTCAAGAACAGTAGGTATACTTAAGAATATACTTCCATATGGCTCCTCCAATCTGGTCCAGTCGCCCTACAGAAGTGCCAGATGGCAACAGCAGAACACATAAAGTGATTATTCCCATTTCAAAGCTACTAAGAGTATTAAGCAATTAAGTTGATGCCATTTCAAATTACCTCAAGCACAAAATGGTGGCAATCTGTATCTGGTGGCAGAACCTCAGCCTTAACTCCCATGTGAATTGAAAGAAACGAAGGAGCTTTGACATAAGCTTTCTGAAAGTTCTGTTCTTCTTTTGGAATGGCTTCACCCTTCAATAACTTTCCTAGAATTAACCAAACATGTAACTAATCTAAACGAACCAAACATCACAACAGACAACACAAGATACAGCAAGATGATAATTAAATATTAACAGACAATGTCTTGTCAAAATTTGAATTAAGCCTACCAAAGGTATCCCATCTAGTAGCATTTGATATTATGGTTTTGGCAAAGAGCTCCTTGCCATTTGAAAGCTTCACACCTGCCTGCAAGAAGAAGAGCATAATTTTTAAGAAAAAAGCACGTCTTTTCTGAATTTATCTGTGTTGGCTCTTTATTTTTTTTCTCACTTACTGCTTTTCCCTGCTCCACTATAATGTCAGTAACGTTTGACTTGTAATGTATCTCACTACCCTGTTTAACTAGACCTTCTGCTAGTGATTTTGCAATCCCACCAACACCCCCAACAGGGTAGTTAATTCCACCAAAATGCCTGTCACAGAGAACCTGAAGGCCAAAAAATTACAAGCAATGGAAGATGAAAGAGTGGACAATCACTGAGCATCAAAGGGGGAGGAAAACAATGAAATTTAACCCTATTACTTGACAGTAATGTTTGAATTCATCCACACTTCCAGTGGTGCCAAAAGGACAAGAAGCCATAAATTCTTATCCAAATTCTAGTCAATTCCACATCTCACTTTCTAGTCAACAATGAAGAAATATGACACCAAGACAGGCATTCCATGCAAATGCAGACAGCTATTTCAACAGTTTACCATGCTAGCATTGATCATTGGTGTCTGCAATGCATTGACTGTGCTCACAATGAAACACTGCAAACAGAATTTGCATGTATGATATATTTATCAATCATGTACCAGTGAAATAAATCAATTGAACTTTCAACTGGATCAAGTTGTATCACCTCTGCATCTATGAAAGACAACAATTGTGGATCCTGAATGTACTTTCGAGCAATGTCTCCAGTATTTTGGGGCAAATAATACGCTGCTTACTAATAACATCATCAGAAAGGTTGATCGCCACACCAACAGAGTATATTAACAGGATGTGGGGAGTGAGGAAATAATAGAACCGTATCAATAATGCACTCAAAAGACATTTCATGGTTTTAGTTAATAAAAGATTGTCTACCAACACAATGGTTACATGGACAAAATCGACCAAGCATAATCAAGGGCAATAACCCTTTATTTTTTACAGACCAAACTTCCCGTGAAGTGTAAACTCAAAAGTAAAGGTTCATGAGGATACTCTTAAGTGGTCCATTAACTGCACACTAGTCAAATATTCAAATGCCATCTTGGATACTTGGAGATGTGCACTACATACAAAATTTTCTTCATTCAAGAATATTATATTATAAATAAGCCAGCACTGCATACAAATTCTCTTGTCAATCAAGGATACCCATATTCTGGCAGTTCAAAACTAAAATGCATGAGGTAACTCCACAGGTATCATCAACACAATTCTTGCCTTGCACCATCACATATTAAGTCAAAGTTAACTGAGTTAACTAGTTATCACCTCCTTCTTGAGTAATTTACACAGAAAAATGTAAATAACATCTAGTTTAGTAATATATCTGTTTTTTTTTTCCTACTTACCCTTGTTTTCCCACAATGAATCCTTTAATTCATGCATTAATCTCACAGCTAAAAGAAACCTATATTCTTCTATAAATGCTTCCAAGTTCCAAGCAATCAATATGTCATAGCAAACAAAAACCAAGCAAGTCTAAAAACAAAATCATTAGTCTTGCTACAGTTAAAAGAGTTACCTAGAGTCAGGCATTCACGGGGCTTTTGAAAAAATTGTCCAAAAAGGTAGAGTGGCTCCTCGAGCGACTTCAGTTCCAGTGAATTAAGGGAATTGAAAATCTAGCCACCATACATATAACATCCTAAGTTATCAAGTACAAGTAAAGGCAGAAATGCCTCAAGGGAGTTGCAGTCACTTTGACAAAGACAAACCTTCCAGCATTCACTGTAGAACTTGATGATACCCTCCTTTTCATGGGGAAAGTAACTGACGAGCTCTTCAATGAATTTATCAAATTCTCTGTGCACTCGAACGGAAAGGTTATTGGGTAGGTGGAAATGGACAGTCGTTGGATCTGGTATCACCTGCATCCGACAACCAACTGCTGCCAATGCTTGTGTTATTAAATTGAGATTACCCTGCCCATATTTGAGAAGCATGGCTGTGATTATCCTTGGAAGAATACCAATTAAAGGAGGAAGGGAATTTGCAAATCACCCACCCACAATACTTAAATGTTAAAGCCCCGGGCAATTCTTGGTTCAGATATTAATAGAAATATCAGCAGACTGAAGTTATTTTGAGCTTGATAATCACAACACCATGCTTTCCTGAAGCACCCCATGAATGCCCCAAATAGGAAATATCTTTTCACATAAACGTGCATGATTTTTTTTGTGATGTGGCGTATTATGTTAGGTTCCCCAAAAGAACAGACTAGAATCATGGGTCTTGTTCAACGTCACTTGTTAATCATGGAAATAGTGATACGGATACAAAGAAGAGTTTATTAATCTGCGAAAAGAGTAAACTAATTATTCATGAATAGGATTTTATTTCTAGTGCATAGCAAACTGCCAGCCACAAAGAAGCAGCAAGTCCCTCTCATTAGGAACGAATTCACATTTCTCCTATGCAACGTTCAGCCATTCAGAAACAAATTTGTAGTGTTAAAGTCAGCAGACTGAAAGTGGACAACAAATAGACTGACCTTATCACTGAAACCAAACATGACAGAAGAGCCAACATCAAAAGTATACCCATCCCTCTGGTAAAAACCGGAGCTTCCTCCAGGAATCACGTATTTCTCCAAAACCAAAACTTTCGCACCCTTCACTGCCAGCTGGGTCGCTGCAACTAACCCTCCAATCCCAGACCCTATCACAATCGCGTCGAACTCTCTATTACTATCCATCCGTCCCCCGGCTCCTTCAACCTCCGTGGCTCGTTCGTAATTTGGCGCCAATTTCGAGGACACCCTCCATCCTACTTTTCTGGGGTTGGCCCGCAATTCTCCATGGCGAGAAGCTTCTATAGAATCACCCGCCAAAAATAATCGGGCCTTGCTTTTCAAAAAAAACGGAAGCTTATTGTGAGAATTGAAGTTCCGAGATTGAATCATAGGATGATAATTAAAAATCTGGAAAGTGTAGGTTGGACACTTGAAAGAAAACCCAAGCTCGGGAACGGAGATGAAAGGAGAATTGAGCATGGCGATTGGGACAGTTTCAGGGAAAATAGAATTGGAAGTGGAACTGTTTTCTGCTTATGTAGTGGAGAAAGCATAGTGGGTTGCTAGCGGTGCTTACTGGTGTGGATTCCACTCCCCGATAAAAATGATTCCTTCTTTAGAGAAGACAAAAAATCCCTTCCCTAACTCGCTCGAAGACGAGAAATTACTGGGTAAAAATGATGTGCGCTCGCTCTATTTTTTAAAATCGAAAAGGTCGTGGACTCGTGGCAATTTCGGGAGCCACTCAACTTTATAAGCTTGCAGGTTTAGTCAAATTTAAATTAGAGTATTCAGAGTTTTACTATTTAGGTTAAATTCCTGTTTTAATGTTGATGCTGTCTTTGTCTGAAATCAATTTTCAATATTTGAACTCGATTGGTTATCAATTAAACGAAGTGAATATTTATACTTTTAAACTAGGTAGTAGAATCAAATGGTGATCAATTAGTTGGATATACAATTGCAACCCAGCAATAAAGAGAGGTAAGCAGGAGAAAACCAAGCCACGCCAAACGCATTGAAACAAAATATTTGATGAAGGAACGGGCCATAAAGTATTTGATGAAGTACACCTTCATGTTGCTCAAAGAAAGAAGCACGTTTAATTAATTAATTAATTTTAGTTATAAGATTAGAAAGTGGTGGATGGGGTTTGACTCGCCATGTGTGAAGTGTGAATGACGAGCAAAGACACGTGTGAATGATATATGATTTGAAAGCCTTAAGATTTGAAGAACAGTCTTATCTCGATTTAAGAATCAAACTCTAAAGAAGCCAGCCCTTGAGCTAGCGTAGAAAGAAGATAAGAGGAGAGCAAGATCAAATGGGAATCGGAATTAGGATCACATAACGAGCTGTTGTTCCTTTTCACGTCATGCGCCTGCATCATGTTCCTAGATCTCATGCTTCGCCTTGTCTTTTACTTCACTTCTTGATCATTAATACAGTCAAATTGTCGCAACAACAGATCGTTTCCTCTTGCTCTTGCATTTTAATTTTTTCCAAATGTTTCGTTCCTGAGAAGCGTACAAAACATCCTCAGAGATTATTTGTTCAATTTGCATATTTACGTATTGACAAGGCATCGTTGGTTTCTCGAATACTAGCTTTGCATATAATTCATCAAATATTTTGACTTTTGATCATAGAATAAGTTGTGTCTCTGATTTAAATGTCATGTTATCATTTTGAGTTTACATCTCTCCACATATCTTATTTCAATCATATAATAAGATGTGCTGTCCTTTTTCATTCTTATATGCAGGATAAACACTTCATTTAGTTGTAGGTTCTGCGCCAAAAATTATCTCACATAGGTTATAACACTTTGATATGTTGATGAATGGGATATTAATTATGACCGAAAATAGAAAATCAATCAAATTAAGTAAGATTTTCCCCCCTATTTTTTGTGATCCGGAAACACTATCCATTGATTAAATTTTTCTAGCTGGAAAAAAAATGCTATCCATTTTTAAATAAAGTGTTATGGATAAGAATTCTGGGGATGAAAAGTGACATTACAAAGAGGGTAAAAAAGAAAAGACAGACAAATAAATGAGAGCCCTCAGTAAATAAGGTTGTTACCTTTTTTTAAATTTTCATGGTTTAAACAAGTGATCAAAATCAAAAGCGAGTCAAGGACGTCCGTTTTTAAGCTTTATCCATTTTAGTTAAGTGCTTGCCTATGCTCTACCAAATAATGATTTCTGGTCTCTTGCCAATTCCATCGCTTTCCATCAATGCAAGGGATATATAAAGTGAGTATGTATCTGATTGGATTAGAAGCAGACGAAACCTAAGTTTAAATATTGTATTGTGGGTGGAGAAGAAAGAGAGATCGAGAGGGAGAGAATGAAGGATGGATGAGTCTGTGGGATTTGGATTCATGGCTGTATGTGCTGTGTCAGGAAGCATGGTGTTGTTGGTTCATCATGTTCACAAGCACCTGTTCTCTAATTTCATGAAGAAGATTGAGTTCGAAATGGGTGGTGTCTTGCGCCCTCGACCCCAACACAATCCCACTGGTATGTACCACCACGTTTTCTTATCTCATATAATAATGTAAGAACTTGATCAAATTAGATTCAAGATGATTGAGAGTTTGGTACGGGGTTTTGTTTTGACAAGTTTCGGAGCAGAAGCATGAAAAGAAGTTGCGATTCTGCGAAGATGCATCACCGAAGAACAAGAATGATCGTAAAAAGGTGACGAGGGCGGTGATGGAGAAGGAGAGAAAGGTTTTGGTGAGTGAGGATGTTCATCAGAAATGGAGGGGTGGACCCAGACTGGAGGACATCATGCCTCCTAACAGGGCAGTTCTCTATAAGGGCATTATGAAATACAGGACTCGCATGGGCAAGTTTGGTTTTTGAGCTTTTTTCCCCCCTTCTTCATTTCGTTGCCTGACTTCGTGATTGAGTCTTCCTATATGTTCATTTGTGTTTATCGTGTGCATATTTTCTTGGATTTATCGTGTGTATATTTGTCTTTCCCCGTTGTGTTCCTGTATATTGATTTGTTTTTTAATTTTTTTTTTATTTTTAGGGGTGGTTAGGCAGTGAGTGGGTTGCCATGACATTAAATATTTTTTTATGTGTATGTAGATATTTTAATTGTCTCTGGCAGAGAAGGAAAAGTGTGTGTGTGTGTGTGTTGTGTCATCTCAGACTTTTTTGGGCTGAAAAAAAAATATTAAATACAGTCTGACTTATGAAATATTATTATTGAAATGGGAATAAGAATGGGTTACCACTTAAAATCACCAATTCACCATTAATTGAGAATGGAAAAGCAATAACGGTAAAAATTTATTGAAAGAAAACTCTCCATTAACAGAAGGAGATCCTCTTGAGAGAATAGTAGCTGGAATTAAATATTTAGAGTGGAAAAAACACCATTGGTTGAGAATGGACAAAAAAATTATGCCAAGGCACTTGCATTGCATGTTGAACAATGAACTTTAATAAGCGAAACAAGGCATTAGAATGTATATTTCACCAATGAGGTCTCCAACCAAACCACTTTCTTTTCTTTTCCTCCTTAATAACCTTTTCGAGAGATATTGATATTAGGTTATGATTTATGACCGTTTCATTCTCTTATAGTGAGTACTTAGAATTTAAGTGCACGCATATATAGACACGCGCATGCGAAATATAAAGTAATTTTCTTTTATAATTAAAACTATGTTTTTGTAGGTATTAGAAGCCAGCAATAAAGAACGTCTTCGTCAAAATACTAAAGGTATTGGACAGACATCTTCCCATTAAACTAGAACATACACAAGGGTTAAAATTTACATTCATAACCAATTGTTTAAAAGATAAAAGCTTCGATCACTTATGTCAATTTTAATTGATATTAAATCTATTTTTCCTCGACAAACAAAGACATGCCGTGCATGCCTCAGTCATGTAATGGGCCAAATAAGTCAAGGTTTTATGGGCCCAAAGTGGAATCATGGGCTATTTAGGTCATCTACAGAAGGAGGAAGATCATATTCTTTTTCTTTTCTCTCAGAGAAGCGCACCCTCATCTTTCCTGCAAAAAATGGCGTGCCCTCGGACCTCAGCTTTGTTCCGGGGACTTTAACTCAAGTCATGTTTGTTGACTAAAATAAAATATAATGAAATAAATTGTAAAAAATTAAAACAAAAATAAATTAAATTATTATTTTTTTTATAATAAAATTCATTAATATATATTAAAAATATGAGAATCATCACACTCTCTGAAAATCACATGAATCATGATTTTCAACTCCATGAACTAAATTACCCCTCTCTCTTATAAATGTATTCACATATTTCTCTTGATCATTTTATTTTTATATTTATTTTTTTGATCTATTTCATTATAATAAGCAAACGTATGCTCAGCGTTTAAGTATTTTGGGTAATTCTTGCTTTTAGAATTTTGTATGATTATTTTCTCACGAATATTTTTCCATCTTATCATTCCTCCTCTGTCCATGTTTCTTCTTCCTCCCTTGTCGATTGGCGAGAGTCAAATTCTTACAAATTGGTGATTAGAACCCAGATCCTTGTAAGTTGTGAAGGGCTCACCAAACTCCATATACAATAGTTGATGGCGATGGCGGGGTGGAGTGATAATGAGTGAGATCGATGAGACCTGCGTCCTCCATGAAACGTGATATTGTTTTTCATGGTTGAGAAGAAACAAGGCCTAGAGCACGTCAATTTTTCTGGAGAATATTAGAGTGAGCGAGATGCCTTCCATGTTCCGTCTTCTCGTCTTCCTAATCCATTGGGAGTTGTTTATAATTTTTGGTTTTGTAACTGAGGGCATTGAAGAATTTGCTTTTTTTTTTTTTTATTCGCTCAAGATCCCATGATTGGGACTTTATTCGCGTTAAGTGGTTGTATAGGGCTTAGGTGTCATTCTCTCTGTTTTTGAAGCTGATTAGTTATATTGCTTCCTTATTTGATATTTAAATTATTTAATATTTTCAGTAGAGCTAAAAAACAGGCTAGCTAGATCCATATAAGTTCAAACTCTTATTTTAAAGTTTGACCCTTATTCAAATGGTAAAGGACAGGCCACATAAGCCCATTTTATTTAAAAATAATATAATATATAACATTCCAAATTAAATTTTCTAAAAATTCAAAATAAAAAAATACAAATACAAATCTAAAACCTTGACCAAGTTTAAATCTAAAATGAAAATAAAACTCCTCATCAATCAAATTCAGAACCTTGTTCAAAATCAATAATTATAAAACCTTGTGGATCCCTTCTTCTGTGAAACGTCAAATGGAAAAGAATTAAAATTTTCAAAAATACATGTACTTAAACCCTAGTGAAGAATTTGCCAGAAAATGTTAAAATTGTACCACAGTTGAGAAAGTACCTCAAAAATATGATCCTCCTTATGAAGACGAATATCAAATTCTCATCCTTCGTGCAGCATTCACACACGACCTTCAAGAAGTCTGCACTCGTTGGCTTATAATCAAGGAATTAGTCCAGACATCAACGGAACCCATCTTCTCGTACTAGGAACGCCAAGTATGAGAGCAATCAGAGCATACAAAGGCGAGAAGCCGAGAACATGGTCAGGGACGTCGAGAACGAAGATGGAAAGAGAATGAAATCTGAGGAAGAAAGATGCGATGGGCGAGAACGTTGATAAGGCATTATTGGTCATGCTGTACATGCATTTTTGAATAGGAGAATGGTAAAAAAAAAAAAAAAGGAAAAACAAGTTTAAAAGGTCACCTGATCCTGTTCTTTAAAGGCCTATCAGGCCAGGCCCTGAAACTCAATTTTTTTTTTAAATGTCAATTTTTTAAATTTAAACTTTTATAAAAAGCAACTTAAATGGGGAGTCTTCCCGGCTCTAAGCTTATTCCCCACTGTAATTTTTAGCAATTCTACTAAGCAAGCCAGAGAAGCTTTCTTAATGGAATTTTTAAGTCAGATTTTGACATTTTGGCGCAATATGTTTACGCGGTCAAGCAAGGATCCCCCCACCCCCCCGGGCGCTTGTTTTGCTAACGCGGTTGAGTAGGGATTAACTATATATTAAATATCTGGGAAAAATATTAAGTAACTAATAATGCCCTGTGAAGATGTGTTTGGATTTAATAGTCGGCAGCTTCAAATTACATGAAGAATATTGCCATAATTTCCATTGTCAGTAGGAATCCACATTGCCATATCAACGTAACGTTGATGTTGACCAGCTAATCTTAATGCACGAGTTCATGATATTTTTGTTGAATAATTTTTTTAAAAAAATAAATCTATTTCTAAAACAAAATCAAAATCTGAGACATACAACTGGGGATATTAGCAGGTTTTACCCTTTGCATAATAACTGGTGATTGTTATCATACAGCATAGTCTGAATAATAATTCTCTTTTAAGAAGCTGACTTCTGAAAAAACATTTTTAAAATAAATATATCTTTTAAAAAAATTACTGTCTCCCAATTTTCCGATGCCAAGCGAAACCTGAGAGAAATAAACTCTACTCATTGACTCTCTCTCGTTCTCTCATATCCTGTCTCTATTTCGTGATTATATTATGAGAAATAATTAGAAATTATCTGTAATTCTAGCAGAAAAAAATCGGGTCACAAAAGTTGGAATGTGAAAAAATTAAGGAGACATTGAAAAAAAAAATCAATAAACAAATATGTCAAAGCAGAAAAGAAAATTTTATCTGCCGCCTCAAATTTGTTGAGTTTATCAGTTACGTGTTTCAGAGAAATTGCATATAAGACGTACGTTCGAGATCCATCACCATCAACTTCAACATCTATCCTCCCTCTTTTATTTTTTATTCCTCCCTGCACCTAATTTATCCATCACGTGTATTATATCCAGTTACGCACGCTCTCCCAGAATTATTCGAGTCCGACCCATCCACTTTTTTTTTTTTTTTTCAACTGGTTCGGATTCGGATGCACGGGCAATGTGAATACTTTTAGAATTTGAATTTAAATAGTGTGATATTATCATCCTTCTAATATGTACAACCATAATTATTATTCGTTAACTGTTTGTACATGCATCTATATATTTTTGATAATACAATCTTCATAAAAACAAATATTCAAATCATTTGAGCTTAAACCACGCTAACTTTAGTTGTGAGCGGTGCTGGAAAACCCAACGTACGTTTTTATCGTGCCGGGACTGTTTTTGAAAGTGGGCGAACTCGTTATAAAAAAAAAATATTTGTTAGAGATGCACTATAATTTATCTTTAATTAGTGAAAATTTTGCCTCTAAATAAATAGAGAAGAATATAGTGATGTTTCAAAAAAGAACATCGCTGAATAATTAGAGACAAATTTTGCAAGCTATCGCTGATTACAGACGGATTTTTTTGTCTCTAACTAAAAAATACCATCTCTAATATTTGTAAAAAATTTATTGCTATAAAATAGTTTAAAAATTATATAAAATGATAGAGATGAGATAAAATAGCCTCTAAATCTATGTTTAAAAAAAATGACAACTTAATTCCTCATGTCTCTATTGTCATATTAGTGTTACATCACTTGACACCTCATCAACCACGTGTATCTGCATATGCCAACTCACTTGGCCATGTGTGGATCAACTAATATGTTAAGGCTAAAATTTGATCATTTGACTTCTTACCTTTCAAGTTTTAAGTCCTCATTCTCTGTCAGTTTAACTGAAATACACCTGTAGTTATTACACGCAAAGTTAAATATATGTTACTTAACTGTATATACATATATAAAATATTATATTATTAAAAAGCTATAGATATATTTTATTTAATTATTAATATAGTAAAATTACTTATGTGACTATTTATATTATATTTTAATAAAATATTATTTTTTAGGAAAATGAATTTAAAATAAAACAATTTTTTTAATATAAAAATATTATTTTTTAATTAAAAATAATTAAGTACATAATTTATTTAAAAATATGTATCATTTTAGTCTATATTAAATATTTTTTACTTTTATCTTCTCCATATTATTCTCAAAAATTAATATATAAATAATTAAATTGTTATCTTCTCCCGAAATGGTTAAATGTTTCCCATTCTTTTCTTACAAATAAATTTTATTCACAATTTTTTAATTATTTTTAAAATTATTTTAATATAAAATATTTATGAC